CCCCCTTGCTGTTCCATTTTCGTTCGACGAAACCTCAAACGCGATTCCCTTGGTTTTTTTTTTTTTTTTTTTTTTTTTTTACTACGTTCTTCTACTTCTTGAGTAGTCTTGAGTTTAGCTTAGCGGCGATGGTACGGTTCGCAGGAACCGTCGGGGACCTAAACGCGGCGTCGTCGAGTCGCGACTGTGATAGCGCCAGTACCTCTGAACCTTCGTTTTGTATATCTGGAACGGAACTGGGCGTCGATTCGTTATGATGCGGATCGTTTCGTAGAATTTAGATTGCTCCAAGTCACAGAGTTGCAGTTAGTCGAATAAATTACTCGGTAGATTTGGTTCGAAGTGACGAGCGATTGAATTGATACCTGACTTATTAATAAGAATCTCGCACAATCGTGCATGACGCAAAATTCTTCGTCATGGGTATTCAAAATTAGCTGCAATTTAACTCCGCTACATTCGTTAGCTCGTTTTTTGACATATTTAAAGGATATCTCTAGTTTAAAGAAAATATTTAAAAAAGTTTTATTATAAATTAACAAAATATTCAGACAATCTACACGTGATTTCTTATATCCAAGCATCTTGAAGCGTCTCGAAAGTCATTTTCGTTTAATAAAACGACAGCAAAATTGAAATATAAATATTCAAAGATTGCATATTAGGAAGAAAAATCACAAGCGAATAATGTTAAATTCGTTTAAAACGGCGCCCAGTTCGACCAACGTGTCGTTGTTTTTCACGAAGCTACGATACTGTTTCACTACTAATCCTTCATTTGATAGAGAGCGCCGATCGCACGGTATCGAAATCAAATCACCATTTGTTTGCGAGTTTCATTTCGGAAATGTCCGTTAATGTTAACACTCGCGGCGCGCTTAGCGATCTATGTTCTTAAAAACGTTTTGCTCTCTAGTCGACTCTGGCGTCTCGACATCTCCGTGTCGGATCCGATCGAAATACTCAGCGATCGAAAATCGACCACGAGCATCCTAGATCAGAGAGAAAAACTCGCGATATCGCGTTATCGCCAGAGGTCCAGCGACGCAGTTTTAATCAATCCGAGATATTATTATAGAGCAGTGAAAATGAAAACTTGCGACGATGGACAAGAATTGACGAATAATCTGCGTTGCCTCTGAGCATTTAATTAAAAACATCGTTCAATGTTTTTCAAGGTTCCTAGTTCCTCTTCACTCGTAAAGAATGTCGTCGACAAATAATCAACAGCTAGAATTCTACATTGACGTGAAGTTACACGTTGATCGTAAATTTATTGAAAGATATTGAGATTCTCTGCACTACTCGATTGTTTTCAAGTGTCTTGTATTAACCATTCTAAAATTAGACTAATTTTTATTCTCGACGATTGCAGTAATTATGAATGTTTAATCAGGTTAAACTTTACCTCATACTTGCCTCAAAAAAGATTTATATTACGAATATAGAAATATCTTGTGTATCCTGAATTTGCTGCTGACTATCATTTCGTCGAATGGAGACAGATAATACACATACATCGACACAGCTCATACAATCATATTTGTTAAACGACATGTGTGGAAAATAAATTCTTGTCCTTCGTCGCACGGGATAGTTGACAAAAAAGAAAAAAGAAAAAAAAAAGAAAAAAGTAGGTAAGAAATGAGAAACGTCTCCCTAACGCAAACCTACGATTCTTACGTAGAATCACGTTCGGATGGGGTGAACGTGAGATAATTTTATACTAGAACCAATTTACGACAAGAGTATATATCTTATAAATAATAAACACATGACCATTTTAATCATATCACGCGAGAAGCAGAGGAACACACCGATTGGTGGCGCGTACGTTATAGGATGAACGAGATTTTAAATGATTATTAGAACGATCGGGCCGAAGTTTCGAGACCTGTTTTGATCGGAGAATTAGGAATAAAGCTTCCTGTTCAGATTGGTCCGTTTCAGGTCAAACTTGTAGAGACTTGAGATCGTATTAACAAGAACGAAAGTTAAGCGCATGTTGGTAAAATGATATTAAATTGCCTGAATTCAGACGAATTGTCAAATTGATTGGAAAAGGTGACAATTTGTCTGAAATCTTAAATTGTCCGATTCGAGTGCGACAATTAAAATTACAATTTATTGAAATTCGAGTAGAAGTGTAAAAAGCTCGAGTAAAAGTTATCAATTGCTCAAACTCTTGTCGGAATTTCACGTGAAAAAAAAAAACCGAGCAGTCTGAAACGAAGCTTAACGAAATAAAATTCTCCCGTCTGGATCTACAAACTTGGCGCGAAATAATGTTTGCGAGATAATCGAGTAATAAGTAAAGATGATAATCGTTTAGCCGTGAACGTAGCTGCGATTCGATCGAACGAAGGTCATCCACCTTTATGCATACACGATCTTTACTTCTCTTCTTATGATTAGTTCGAAACGAGGCCGAAACCTTCCGGTTTAATCGACTATTTAAATCAAACGAATTGTTTGCCCTTAGCGATGAAGGAAGAGGATCAGGAGAGAGCGAGGTTCCGACAATCCGTTTAATCAGTTAGGTGAATACGTAGGAACGTTGTTAGGAACGACCTGATTGTACCTATGTATTATATTTCTTGACTCGATGCTTCGAGCCGTTTGCAATCGTTTTTCTCGACCAATTTACACGTTTCTCCGACCAAATATGTCGTTTTATCGAGTACCTGCTTCGACGCTGCTTCCGCTACGCCCGATCCCTTTCTCCTCAATTCAATTTACCAGCGATCCGATTAGCTTCACTTTCGGGCCCGATTCTGAAAAGACATAAGAAAAATTCAAAACACTTGGAAGAATTATCTTCTGAATGATTAAATAAAATACGTAACATAATAGTTTATAAAGGTATACGTTATTTAACGAAATTAATCCATTAAATTCGTCGAATATGTCCAGATATAAAGAATTGGATAATAACACCAAGGAGCTTTGAAACAAATTAAAACAGTTTCATCTACGAATTGATAATTCCAATTGTTGTTAACGAAGTTTTTTTTTTTTTGTTTAGAAAGTAACTAAATATTCCGTGATTAGATAAAGCTCCGCCGGTTATTAAAATATTCGAATTTTCATACGAGAAATACCTTCGTCAAAATTGATCCACATGCTTTACTATCCTTTGTTTCCCGTATTTTAAGTCTGTCGAATTAATTTGATTCATGAAATAATTTTCAAAGAAGAAAAAAAAAGAAAAAATGAAGCGAATCGATCGATCCCCGTCAATATCAATAATTTACATGTTCGTTATTCTATTTAGGAATGCAAATGCAATTTCCTTCGAAATATTTTTCTGGCCGATTTTCAGCCTCTTTAACTTTCTCTCCGTCAGGAAAACTCTCTGTCTTTCTCACCTTGATTAGCGTAACGAAAACCCGTCCCGTCTACGAACCACCCAACATCTTCGTCGACGCTGATGGCTCGTAGAGTTTTTGTACATACTTGAGACGCAGCGGTTGGCATTTCTCAAGGACGAATCGATGACTTTCTATAATTCATAACGCTGAGAGAGATCTTTGCGATTGATGAACGCGATGCAAAAGAGATTCTATGAACGTTTAGATAAATAAAAAAAAAAAAGTCGAAGAGTACGTAGACATTAATAAAGTGTGACTATAACGTGGAACGAATGAAAACAGATGTGCAAGCTTTTAAAAGTTTGAGGACGTCGCATGGATATGCACGTAGCTTAAATCGTGGTAATTAGTTGTATATTGGGATTTTTTCTTTAATCCTCTGTAATACGGTGAAGCAGAAGCTGGATTTTCAGAGTATTTTCTCTAATTGATGTTACGATTAATTAATAAAAGAAATAACAAGAGTATTATCGGAAATTGAAACAAATTGTTACATTTTTTTCTGTTTGGATTAGATTTCGATATAAATCTTTTAATTACAGTAGATTCACCATGGCCCCAAATTCTGCAACAGATATTCTCTGAATATTTTCAGAAGTTCTTAAACGTGTACACATATTACATAATGACGATTTTCTTTTTTTTTTTTTTTTTATCTGAAACTTTCGTTTCATCCAGACTTGTATTCACTTCTCTGTAATTCGTTACATTTTGAATGAACGAAGTTTAGATTTATTACAGAGGATTAAATAGAAAGTAAACAGCCTTCGCGTTGCCGAAACTACATACACAGACACGATCGAAATAAGACTAACAAAATTTCGGCGGAAATTTTCACGCGAGTGAGGAGTTCACGTGAATCTTGTATTTTTTTTCGATACTGAAAGAATTCTGCTACCAAGTCAACGATCGAAAAAAAAAAGAAAGAATAATGAAAGCTTCAAAAAAAAAAAAAAGAAAAAAACGAAGCAAAGCGCGAAAGATACACTTAATAACAAAAAAAGAAGAGTAATCTTAAAATATACTAAAACCAAGGACGTTCCAGCAGTGTACATAGATCAATCGTTATAGGATCTCGAATCGGAAATCAACGTGACCTGAAAAAAAAGCGAATTGCGTTGTCGTTCAAAAGCGAAAAACGATGTGAAAGTAAAACTGTTATCGAGTGTATGTGAGTATATCCTAGTCGCGTCTGACATAAGAAAACTGATTGCCCACGATTCTGTCGACATTTGTATAAACATTAGCAACGACGTGAGAAAAGAAAAATAAAAAAAGGAATTAGCGCGAAACGCTGGTCTGTGAAAGAACTGTCAAGTGAAATTTTCTATTAACAAACAATGATTTAAAAAAGGAAAAAAAATCCAAAAAAAAAAAGACGAGAGAAGGATCAATTTGAAGATAAAATAAATCGCTGACGCGTACGTAAAGTGAAAAGATAAAGAAAGAGATATATTACTATGTCAAACGCAATGGAGATTAATATTATGGTAATATTAAGAAACCTCACACGAGTAGGTAATAAAAGAAAAAAAAAAAAAAAAAAGTATCGTCGTGTCTTCATAGGAGAGAACGAAACAACCAATGAACAATTTCGATTTAACGAATCCGCGCGATTTAAAATCCTCGAATCGATGAAACTTCTTCGCGAGTTCCTTCACGAATTTCTAGACGATCTGGTAAGGATTCTGAAAGTTAGAAGGAAATCTCAGCAATGTGAACTGCCGAGCTCGCGACATCGAGACGACACGTTTCCTCGTTTCTTCGATACGCGACACGCGCGATTTCCTTTTCATTGGTTCACTTCATTGCAACTCGTTACGTCGCGTGTAAAGTAATTTCTACTTGTCGATCCTCAATTGAAGGAACTGAGATCTCAAATTCGAAACTGAAATTACAATTCGTTGGTTTTCTAACCATTTCTTTCTCACGAAAGCGTGATTGGTACAAGACAAGGGGTTGACGAACGATCCATTGGTTTTGCGCGTGTGTAGACAAAGTGTACTTGAAAGTAATTCATTCGGAAATTGATTTTCAAATCGACAATGCGTTGAGATCTTGTTGTGCGTTTGTGAAACTCAATGACGAACAACGTTCATTGGAGTCTGTCGTAGAACTACGCGTGGAATATCACGCATCTACCACGAACAATCTCAAGACTATTGCAATTTGAAGATTCTTTTAACGAACGTATGTACGTACACGTTTCACCTCGAGGTTGGGCGAAGTCGTCGTCGAGATTCGTTGCAATCCTCTACAAAATCGATCGTTTCTATTTTTATTCCAGACCAGATTTCATTAATTATATTGTATCCTCATGTTCACCGTACACTTCTCTTTACGATCTTATCTTGCGATTGAAAAACAAAGTTAAATCGAAAGAGTTAGTCTGTAGAGATTTGCATTTTTTAATTTTTTCGTAAGTGGAAATATTTGTTATAATTGTAAAATATTTTCATATCAAATACCCGTCAGTTCAAACGTACTGACAAACTGAATGTTACTAACATATCGTTTACCTTAAAATGTGATTATTTTAGATAATTTAGTATATTTTTTATTGCAGTAAATGTTGAATTACTAGTTAATATTCGATGAGAATTTTCTGTTATGCATTGATGCTGTTTCATGACGACACAAACATTAAGAGAATAAGGCACACAAGGTCATTTTTTTACAATTCTTATGAAACAATGTTAATTTCTTTGAAAAAGGTAACGAAAAAGATCTAGCGCTGATCTAATGCTGTTGATATTTGTATTTTTAGAGAACGTTGTAAGAATGAAAGGATTGAAGTTAACAACTTTATTCGAATATTCATAGATATTTTATAAAAAATATGTTCATAAATGTCTCGTGATATATAGATATTTATTCAAGAATATATTTAAATTAGTAGTTCCTTTTCATTTGAAAAAATTTTCGATTAATTGATTTGAGCGATTAAGTAACTTCTGTTTTGACCTGATTTTTTTGACTCGTTCGAGCATATTTCAAAATTTTCGTCACAAAATTAGTTTATTAACTCTCTGACCGCAAGCGACAGTAAAATCATATTCTGTTGACTTCGATGACCCTGATATTTTTCTTTTCTCCACTTATATTGATTCATTCTTACATTGTGATTAATCTGTTCGTGATAAACTTAAACGAGATGTACATTTCACCCGTGATCTTTTACAGAAAAATATGAAAATTGTCCGCGACTGGAGAGTTAATCAACACTAAAACTATCGAAATGGTCAAAATGGCCAGTTCTTAGTTTTATAGATCTGAATTTCATAGAAACTTTCTAGATATAAATAAAAGCTTTCGTTCTTTATTGTATTATAAACATTTTTCCTATTCCTTGTAATTTCTGTAATAAAAATTTTATATTTTAATCACCGTTAATTCCAGCGTTAAAAGAGCAAAACCCAAAGTGCATAAAATTATTGAATAATCGGAAAAAATCGTATCCCACTGGATTCGATGTATCGTGTGTATCACGAGTAGAATATCGCGAAAGGACTTGTTCCCATTTTCAGAATTTCACTGAGAAAATTATTTTTCTTTCCGAATCGAGATGGAAATGGGAGCATGAAACGAACGAATCTCGAGTCGTCCGGAGTAATATGAATTTAAAAAATTAATCCTTGACCACGAAATGAACTACAAACGACTGTATGTAATGTAAAATAATAAGAGAGCAGAAAAACAGAGAGAAAGAATGTACCTATATCTATAAATATATATATATATATATATACCACGTGACACATTGTCACGCGACGCGTGCATGTAAATTTATTATAAATAAATTATTATAAAGCAGCAACACTCCTTTTCTTCCGACAGATTCACTTTATTTCGTGAACGTACAATTCCATTGATTTCGTCGCTTAAAGTAGCATAGCTCGAGTGAAAACTTGTATTACAAATGTTTAGGTTTCGTCTTCTTTTTCTTCTTCTTCTTCCTTTTTTTGTTTTTTCTTCTCCAGGAATGTGTGTATATATTTCGAAGTTGTCTGGTAACTTGTAATTTAATTATTTTTTTATTGATTGATGCGAACATTGAGTTTTCTGAATTATTTATTTCATTTGTTTGAAATAGGATGGAAATATAACAATGGTTCTTTTCAAATGACGAGGATTCATTGCCGATTCGACACTATGCTCTACCCGTGGTTGTATTGTCAGAAAAATTACAGGTATGTCTCGCTTCGTGATGTTTCTGAGGTAAAGAGCGAAGGAACGTTCAGTCACTGACAATTTCTTTCATTTATTAATACTATTTATCCGTAAGAAATTACGCTATCGCATTACTATTCGGTAACCGGCTTTTAAAATATATATATATATATTAAAAAAAAAAAAAAAAAAATAGTCTTTGTTTTCTCACTTATCGAAACAACAGTGAAAGCATTGAAAATACTTGTGTCAATCAACTAAAACAACTATCGCCGTAGCAAATGATTCTTTTATTCCCTTACTAGTCACAAAGAGATTTCTAAACGAAAACGTGTTTCACAAAATTGTATCTTCCCCCTGTACGACATAATTAAAATATCATTTTTTTAAAAAGAAAGAAAGAAAAGATTGATATCAACGTCACAATCTGTTTTCAGATTCTCAAAAAAGAAAAAAAAAAAAAAAAAACGAAGCCGGTTCTAAATGGTCAAACGCGTACATACACGTCTCATGCTCGTCGTTGCCGAGGATTCTTTACTATCATGACGCCATGTTTTATACCGACGATTAATAAAACAGACGAGAGATGTTTTCGATTTCGCGTAGTACGTGGAATGTTCTCGTTTATTCTACGTGTATGCACATTCTGGTGTTGGCTGGTGTATATACATATATATTATGCGTATTGTCGCTATTCATGGTATTATAAATACATCGCTTAAATACAATATCGACAGGTGTGGGTAAATCCGCCTAACGAACTCTGAACTAGTGGCTCTTCACAGGCTTCAACACGTTCTCCGTGAACTGGCCAACGATGTTACCCCTCGGATGGTAACACGCCACTACCACGCAGGTTCCGTCCCTTTTCGCCATCGCTATACCCATCTCGATGGTATTTTTCCAAACGATCTGCGTGAAATGACCTAGTCACGAAGGAATAAATAATTATTAACGATCATCATTTCTTCCCTCGTATATTCAATTACGTATCGATTGAAAGAAACATCAGAGGGATCCAGAAATTTTGGAGCTTGATGAAAAGTAAATTTAAGATTAAAAAAAAGAAAAAAAAAATTGTTAGCTGTTCGACAGAATTTTTCAAATGCGATAAAAAATTTATCATCCTACAAAAGATACAGGGATTTATATCAAGTATTAAAAATACGATACGTTGTTTTGTCAAAAGAATTTTCTTGTAACGATACGGATTAAATTAAAGAACTGAACAGCTTCCACCGGTGGATATTTTTAATTTAAAAATTGAGAAACGACGATTAATCAACGATTGATAATTGATGAATTAGTTTTTGTTACGTTGCGCTACATACATGTGTTCAAGATCTTTGGTTCTGTGCCGTATTTATGTTCTTTCCTCTCGGAGTACCATTTGGAAACAACTTCCCGTGCCGGTACGATTAACTTTGGATCCGAACATTGCATCGAGTAGATATTCTCCCCGTACGGAGACGTCGACTGAGGGATCAGCTTGTTCGTATTCAGCAACGTGTTCGCCCACGCCTGAGGATAGTGGGAAAAAATGTACAATCGAGCGTTACACTTGAACCCGACCGTGGACAGTCAATTGCAAACTAACTAAGTCACGATCATGAGAAGTTGAAGACAAATTGCAATTACGTAAATTAAAAGTATCTAATTTACGAACGAACTGCCAGTTTACGTAGGAAAAATTTATTTCTAAAACAGAACTTGGAGCGAAAGTTCGTTTGAATTGTTCTGTGAAAAAAAGATATCAAATATTACGTCGGAGTTGGATAACAGTTAAAAAATTCTAATCTGGGGGAAAAAGATGTTTAAACATGGAAAAAATAATAGAGGCAGACTCTCGATTGATAGAATATTTAAAAATGGTTCTTTATGAGAAGACAAGAGCGAATGAAATTGTTATACTTTTGTTCAAAAGTATGTAAATTTAGATTAGAGCGTCATCCTACAACGAATAGATTACAAATTCAAAAAAATCTCAATTATACAGAAAATTAGAAATTGCAAAAACTGTAGAAATTTTTCACTGTTGAATAACATAACAATATACAGAGCAAAGCAGACAAATTTTGTCGTTTTACAAAAATGACCACTAGTTCCTAAGAAGCTCTGAAAGATTCTATAATATATAAAAAAAAAAAAATCTAAAAAATATCACCTTAGCTGCAGACGTCAATTCCGCGCTTAACCTCAGGTCAGGAACACGATGTCTCCTTCTGTATTCGTTGTGAACGAGTAGAGCCTCTTGTTGCCACGATTGTTCGTCTAACGGGTAATGTACCTTAGAATCTAGGAAGGTGATCTTTTTGGTAGGGCTCGAGCCTCCTGGAGGTAGAACGTTCTCCGTGAAGCTACCCAAGAAATTTCCGGCAGGATTATAATTACAAACGACGTAAACCTCGCCGTTTCGATTCCTGGCCATTCCGACACCCAACTCTGTACTGTCCTTCCACACGACTTGGGTGAAGTGGCCAGTTTTTAGGGTGGTGGGCTCCTTTCCGTATTGATGTTGCGCTTCTTCGGCATACCTGTGAATCGAATTTAAATTAAAAACGTGCGTAATAAAAAAAATGTTACAAAGATGATGCGCAGTGAAAATATGCACTATTTGTTGGTCAGAAGAAGAAATGCGAGGCTGATTGATTAATTATAGAGCGATAATTTTATAAGAAGAGTATTTTGAACGATTATAAAATATTTTTGTGAATGTTGATCAATCAGTCATAGATTTATTGTAATTTCAAAATTAGAAACTAGTACTCCTCATATCGATTGAAAGCAAAGATAAACTATACTTTCTCTGAATTCTCAGTTTATTCAGTCACCTGTAGCATTCATTTTTCGCAAAATCAAACATTATTTCAGATAACATAACGAAATCAATTGTTGTAGTGAAATGTCTATTTTAAACAACAAATCTTTATTAAGTGTTTCACTTTTGCGCTCAATGTCTCACAAAACTCAAAAAAAAAATTTCCTGAGTGCAATCTCTCGTTTTCAAATAAAACAGAAGGTTTTAAAAATAGTTGCACCAAACCCACACAAATTCGATTAGCCAATTACAGTGGATTTGTTGAATGTAAATTTTAGTTACCATTCGTTTACTGGCTCGTCTCCGCCTACGATAGTCTTCGGGTTCGAACTCCACATGCAATACAGATTTTCACCATAATCTATGTTCGCCCTGTGCTCTAACCTGCCCCTAGCTGCCAGTATGTTGGCCCAGTCCTGACTTGTTTTACATAACTGAAAACGAAGAAACGATAAGGTAAGTGTCAATTAATACTTTCACGCGTTCCGCATTAACTTGAATTTTAACGCAGTGAATTTCTAAAAAAAATAAAATACAAAATTTAAAATACAAATTTTAAATTTTTGTATTACTTTGTAAAATGCAAATTTACAAAATTTAATACAAATTTCAAATTTTTGTATTATTTTGTGAAATACAAATGTACAAAGTTTAATACAAATTTCAAATTTTTGTATTATTTTGTAAAATACAAATGTACAAAATTTAATACAAATTTCAAATTTTTGTATTATTTTGTAAAATACAAATTTACGAAATTTAATACAAATTTCAAATTTTCGTATTATTTTATAAAATACAAATTTACAAAATTTAATAGAAAATACAAAAATTAAAATAGAAAATTTTCACGAATCCGATGGAAGACAAAATCGTTTCAAAATATTTTATATCTCTATATATCTGAGGTTCATTGACGTTACAAAAAAGAAATAACCTGTTTGTTAAGACGAAGAGCTGGTACGCCGTGTCTTACGCGGTACAAATTGTGCGTCTCGAGGCAAACGTTGATAAATTCCTTAGGAGGCCCCAATCTGCGCACAGACGGTTTACGTGTGTCAGTCTTTGATATCTATAACACAGAGAGAGGATGCCGCGTGACACAAATTTAACAATAAGTAGGACGACAAAACGTGGAAACGCAAAAATGAAATCGAGAATTTATCAATTCGGATTTTTCTTCAATTTTAAAATTTAGTTGTGAAATGTAATGACGCTCATCATCGTCATTCAGCTCAGAATGTTTTGATACAAAAATAAAAAGTTATTAGAGAATTGTGAATACAACTGTGATTTCATTAATATATAAGATTAAATCGTGAAATATTTACAATACATTGGTCTAGCATTTCCTCCATTTAATTCCGAGTTCACTGACCTTACGGAAATTATTTATAACTGAAACTAAATTAATGTTCTTCTCGTAAAGCTTCTCGTCATCTCAAAGCAAACGCTCCTACGCTTTAATTTGCTCAAATAGCTATTGCAATTAAGGAAAAGCAACGAGGCTGCAGTTTTATTCTAGTCTATCTGACACGTATATATACAGGGTGATTCACGTAACTTGCACAACTTGAAATAACTTTTAAATTATGCGTCTAATGAAAAATTGTTTAATACAAAAAGTTGTATGGTTTTAAAAAAGGCAAGGTGTGATGTATCGATTTTTTGTGGGTTCCATCTTTATTTATTTTAATTGAACCATATATCTTTTTCGTCATGAATCGGAAGAATGTTAAATTCCAAATAAATAAAATTAAAAATTACTTAAGTGAGATATTATTCAGCACGTTACTTTGTTCAAGTATACAAAATCGATTAAAATAGATAGTTTACATTCACTACACAAAATACAACATGAAACAAAACTTTTATGACTGATAAATTATCTCTTTTTAATAGACTTTATTTTACTAACAGATTTAATATCTTGTATCTATTCATAAAAAAAAAAAAGAAGGAAAAAATGCATACTTCAATTTCTTCGACTAAAAACACATACGATACACATCTCAAATTCTTCAAACTAAAATTCAAAGATTCAGATTAAATTAAAAAAGAGACAACGATAAAATGTACTGTTGCATTAAGCGTATATCTCTGGAACTCCCTGTCGCAAATATTAACAACAAAATGTGAAATATATTAAACATAAAATAAAATAATCTAAATTAACAGAAAAAAAATATTAATAAATATTAATAAAATAAATAAACATATATAACAAATATTATATAACGTTCTAAGCTAACAAATTAGATAAACTTCACGTAAATTAGATCAATCTTGTAAACACCGTGACGAGACAAGCTTTTGTCACACGTGCACGCGTGCACGCGTCACGGTCAGAGCGAAATCACGCGATCGCGCGAGTGCAGCCATCAATAAAGACGGGTAACGTCCCTAATAACCTAGTTGCAGAATATTGAATGGGTAGTGGACTGACTGGCAGAAATGATTTCCCATCGTGCTATCGTAACGCCATCATTTCCAGCACGACAGCCAGGAAGCAAACTATCGTGAAATCGCCGCGTTCTTCTCTATCGCATCGGAGGTTTCCGGTCGCGCGTTTTCTCCTCGGAGCGACTTGCGACTGGTGCGAAGTAACCGATTCACGGATCCGCGTAATACCTCTAAATTCTGTCGATTGAAAACGAAGAAGATTTATGCGGTTAACGGCATGGTTTGGCCAAATGAATTTGTCGCGCGACAGCCGGAAGAGGAGCCAACTTCAGGTGTACTATTCTTGACCGAGGAGGCAGTATCGACCGGTGTATTTTTAATTTACGTGCAAATGTCAAGCAACGCTTCGTTGGCCGTTCGATGTCTGCCGTCGAGGAGACCGCGCGGTATAAATAAAAGTGCAACGAGAGACGCTGAAGATTTTAATTTCAATCGATTTCGGAAAGGGGAAGTTCTAAAGTGATGGATGGTGGTTTGACGTGGGATCGATTTTCGAGAATTTGATAAATATTTGTCCGATGATATTAGATAATGATGTGTAATGAAATAAATAATAAAATATATCGTCATTATTTTAACCTTTGTTTTATTTTAGTATATATTTTAGTACAATATATTATTATAGTGTATATATATATATATATATATATATATATATATATATATATATATATATATATATACTAAAATAAAACAACAAAGGTTAAAATAATGATAATATATTTTATTATTTATTAAATATATTATCATTATTTTATTAATAATTTATATAATTAAATATATTATTATTATTATTATATATTATATAATTATTATACTTAATATATATATTAAATATTTATATATATATTTAATATATATAAATATATTATTATTGTTATAATATATTATATAATTTATATAATTAAATATATTATCATTATTTTATTAATAAATAATAAAATAATGATAATATTTTTTATTATTTATTCTATTACACATCATTATCTAATATATAATATATACATAATATTCATACATGTATAGACAATAAAATATTATTAATTTGTAAAAATGTCCGGAAACATAAATACAAGAGTCGATTTATGGTCAAATGTATGTTAGTGTGTATAGTCGTCGGTCAAAAATAATTGTCGCACAGAATAGACTAATAACGAATATTCATAAATACTTATAATTAAAAGAAAACTATTTGTTCAATGACAATTGCAAGACGATAAATTGCACACGTTTCGACAAATAATTTTATTAAAAAAAAAAAAAAAAAAAAGGAAAGATTCGATTGAACGGGCATTAGTTAAAATTTCGCTGCAACGAATGAAGTTCGGAACTTCTCGCCTAACTGGCGATCTCCGCACGCACCAAACGAGAAACCTCGTCCTAAATGAAGCAAGCAAGTAGCAAACGTGTCTCGCGAAAATCCCAATTTCCTATTTATACTCCTTTCTCTTCGATCGATGTGCCAGTCGTAGTCGACGACAGGGAATAAATAGAAGATCAAACGGGTCAAGCAGAAAAGAAAAAGAAGAAAAACAAGAGAACGTCGATGGACACGGAGCGCAAAAGCGGGACGAGAAAAATCGGCAGAGCTGATTCTCGAGAAGAACCGCGAAGACGATTAGTCACCTAGTTGCGAGAGTAACGAGTTTCCCCGAGGCGTTTACAGCCGTTCTCTAGACGCGTCTCTCGAAAAGGGAACGATCCTGAGTCATCGACAGATGCCAACGTACCCTGATGTCGCTCGCTCGTCCATACGCGATGGTTGCTCGAACGCGTGACGATGATTTACTCCGCCGTTTAACCCTCGAAGCGGTAACCGGTTACGAAACTCCTCCGTATTCGTCAGCTCCGCCTCGCGTCGATTTCCGCGCGTTTTGTTTCGCTCATGTCGTGTATATTGACAGCTTGATTTATATTGACGGCTATGTCAAAGTATAGGGGGTTTAGTCTTAAGTATGATTAATGGATTAGAGGTGGATGCAAGATGTACTGATCTGGATATTATTAACACTCAGCGGACGGATTCCTTTTTCCACGCCAACTTCCTAAGACGAACGACGTAGATTTACGTAAGGTATATTAGATACGAAACTGAGTAACTTTTAAAAACTTTATTAAGAACGATGCTAATTTAGTAAACTTGCAACGATTTAAAATTAGCAAGCTCGCGAATCTGCGAGCGTTTTTTCTCCAATTTGCTTAAAAATAGAAAATTAACAAAATGGAACTCAATAGAAAATTTCTAGGAGATACAAAACGATCTCGCGAGTGTCTTTCTTTTTTTAATTTATTAGTCTCAGGCCTAATACATGTTACATAGTCTTACATGCTGTAAAACTTGTGAAACCCAAGAACGACACATACATAATAGATTACAAAGAGACTCGATAAGAAACTTGACTTGATATAAAATAAATATAAATAAAATACAAAATAAAACAATAAAAAATAAATATCAATAAATATAAATAAAAATAAATATATATATTTATTTTTATTTATATACATATATATATTAATATATATTTATATAAAAATATAAATAAAATACAAAATAAAACAATATAGATAAATATCAATAACAATAAAATATAAATAAAATACAAAATAAAACAATAAAAACTACAGTATAAAAAATTAAAAAAAAGAAGATGAAAGAAATAATAAAAATAAAAATGAAATCAGATGTCGCGCGTTTCATTTTTTTTTTTTCTCCGAGACGCGTAGACATCTCTTTTGACTCTCGTCTGATCGATCAGTGAGAAATATGCTTACCGGCGTGGAGGAATATCTTGCAGAATCAGGGGAGGCCGACGATGACCTGGCGCTGCTGCAAGACATGCCATCGCTTCCTAAACTACCGTGAAAACTGCCGTGCAAGGAGTTCGACAGCGGACCTGGGGACGCCGGCGACGCTGTCAGAGGGGACTTCGATCTCACCGAGTCCGTCCTCGACCTGCAAAATCATTAGAATCGATTACACACGCTCGATGCCCGCGACAGACGACGCGTCCTCACGTTCGAGGCAGTGGCACTCAGCTCAGTTTGGGGCCAGTAGCGGTGCGCGGATTCGGACAAGCAATTTCTATGAAAAGAGTTTCTTCAAACTCGGAGGGAATAAAGAGGTTTCAAGCTGTCGGCGATTTAGCTTCGATTTGAACTCGAATCTCGGCGGGTGATTCGATTGATCAAGCAGCGTGATTGAGTCGTTTATACTCAATAGGCGGCAGCGTACAGAGTGAAACTGTGCATTGAGAGAGGAATTGTTCGGATATGTGCAGGGAACTATTCTTTTCGAGGTACGATTCGATCGGAGGGAAAAGTTGATCTCGTTTCGAACTTCAGTGAAAGGCTGATGAATGACTGTTTGTACGTGTTTTATGGTAAAAACGATACAGTTAAATAAAAATAAAAATAAAGAATGATACGGTGGGTGATCGATTAACAAACAGTTCGAAAGATTTTATGTTCGAACACCTCACACTGCGACGCTGTGTGTAAAATTTGTAGAATTGTATTTTACTATGAATGACTGATAAACAATTGAATTATGTTCATTACGGATTATGTTCATTAACCGATCCCTCATTATACTATAGAAATTGTACAGTGTGGTCCATGAATCGTTTGTCACAAAATTTGAACAGGTTTTTAACAAACATTCTAACAATATTTTTACCATTGAAAATACTTTGTTAATAAAACAAAAACATGAATCGATTGCCACAAAATTTGAACTGATTTTTAACAAACGTTCTAACAATATTTTTACCACTGAAAATACTTTGTTAATAAAACAAAAACATGAATCGATTGTCACAAAATTTGAACTGGTTTGTAACAAACGTTCTAACAATATTTTTACCATTGAAAATACTTTGTTAATAAAACAAAAACATGAATCGATTGTCACAAAATTTGATCTGGTTTTTAACAAACGTTCTAACAATATTTTTACCATTGAAAATACTTTGTTACTAAGACGAAAATAGAGACATTTTTAGAAAATTCTGAGAATGGACTGTATTTAAGCGTTAAAGCAAGAAAGAGAAGGAATATCGAAACTCAGTTTTCATGTGTTGATTTATCAATCATAAATTTTCCTAATTTTTATATCATCCAATTTAGCGAACGCTCGAAGCAAAAAGCTGGTGGTAAACAGTTCTGCAAATTTGTAGACGAATATTTCCCTTAAAATATTGTCCAAAAGCTTTGCTAAGTCGCTGGAATCGTTAAAATGTTTAGTCTTCGATGCGTCCTGCTATTTCTTCGTTTAATCCACTTTCGTCTTTCGAATTATTCGAGCGTTGAGCACACTCGCGCGTTTTTCTTCGGATGTTCATGCCCCCTAAAACATGTGCGCGACACGTCCTTTCATAATTCGTCGGAATACCGTCATCGATTCGCGTAGATTTGCCAGATGTCCGACAAATTCTCGATCTCGACTCCGCCAGATGTTTGTTCAATTTTCTGTCTGTTGGGCCGATTAAATTCGTCGAATTCATCGAAGCTGTACTTTCGAGAAGAATGGTTCTCTAATTACAAATAGAATGATGCACAACATACTTACAATTAATTAGTATGTAACATACGTAGTACGAAATGATAGTACTGAAATGAAGTATCTTAGATGTACATACATAGCTCTGTATCCTTATTATTTTATTTCATTTTTTTTTTCTTTAACACATTCGCTGCCATTGCAAACTTTTGCTCGTGATTTATTCAGAAGTATGTATGCAGACAATACAATTACAATATTTTGAAAATCAGTAGATTTTTTAATAAGAAATAATAAATTTCTGCGTAGAATCATCAGAGAAATTTGAACGATGACTGGAATTAATAGAATCGTAAGATGATGTTTCTTTTTCAGAAACCTTTCAATTGAATTGCAATATTAATAAATTTCAAACTAATGATCAAAGAATCTTACAAATTTTAGAATCGTACCATCAGAATATTGCTCGTATACTCTTTCTACACAAATATATCTAAAGCACAGAATTTTCCATATAAATAATCCAGAAAATTCCGCCAATTTACTGTCCTGAAGCATTCTCCCAATCGCCAAGACACTGTTTATTTACTCCGTCAAAACATTCCTTCAACACAGCCAGCGGAATCTTCGACTGTAACAGCGTCTCGAGAAACGCGAATAAAACGAGCCAACGGCGGGGAACGTGTTAAATTAGCGTCCGTTTCACTTTAGCCTCGTTTCTCGCTCATCGGGACGCTGAATCAAACGAAATTAAACAAGTGTAAGCAGCGTTACAAGCCCGGAACTCGACGATTCGTTCGAGCTTCGTCGACGGATTCGCAGACAAGAGACTTTTGTGTCTCTCGCGCAGCGAGAAGCTGAAAGATATCGAGAAAAGCAGTGCACGAAATTATCGAGATCTCTCTTTCTCTAGATCACTCGCTCTCTCTCTCTCTTTGTATGTTAGAAAAAGAATCGTTGCGACGCATGCAAAAACGCGAGTCGAAGCGAGTGTATCGAATAAAAAGATCGTTGAAACGTGCTTCGTGAAATTGTACGAGTGCCTCTAATCTATTTCTAGTATATGGTTCCACTGTGAGCTGAATACTGTGACACGCTGGCAGGACAAAGGATTTGACGTGAGATGATCCCTGCGTCTGCTTGCGATCGAGTATCGACGTGTGATTAATTAATCTGTCTTTGTGCACAGTTGCTGGCGAAAGTATTCAAATACAACTGATGAGACCTTTTTATGAACATATCACGTGTCGCGACAATTTAATATTGTAATGAGATTACATTGCCTCTTGTCACGATTGTATTGAAACAAGTGTCGCCAAGTTTGAAACGGGTTTAAAAATATGTGTGGAAGTTCCAAGATATTTAATAGAGAAGAGTTATCACAAGTGTATTGAAACAAGTACAATTTGTTACGTTTATAACTATTCGATTGAAATGTGAAACTCGTTTCAGGGAGACGAGAAATTAGGAAACGCTTGTGACGAGACAGAGAAATTTTCATTTGCACATTTTATGAAAGATTAGCCAAATTTCTGGAGATAAACCGTTGTCAACCTACAAAGTTTCTTTGAAGAATTTTACATTGGTCATTTTGATAGTTCCAATGTCAACAAGTCTCAATATTCATTAATATTCATCTACAACATCTATTAAATGCTTAAATGATCATTTATACTACGTGCAAATTTTTTATTAAATATGTTTGCAGTAAATATCTTGTAATTGCTATTATACTGTACATCTCTACTGTTATAAAACTTTAAAATATTTAATAAATGGTAATAGAAGTTCTTCTATGGTATAGTTCTATGATCCTGTATGTTTCAATTGAAAATTCTATGTGTTTACTTATAGGTATACAACCAGTCTATGAACTTTATTAGAATGTTTGAACTACCGACAATCAAAACATAAAATTTCCATCAGAGATATTGAAGTGAAAAAAAAAACTAAAAAATAAAAAAAAAACTTTATAATAAAATAGAGTACAGAAGCTTTTGTTTATTTTACGAAAAATACATTTAAATCTCCGAAAATACACTGTTTCGCATCCACAAAATTTCGATACAAAAATTATAAAATTGGTCATGACTATTTTGATATTTCTAGCGTTAAGTTGCCAAGTAATAATGTTAGCGAACTGACAAAAAGTTACGAGTCGCAAAATACACATTTCTCAGTGTAACCAAATTTATTTATTTAGAATAGTGAACGTTTACGCACGCATAAAAACTGTTGCTCGTAAACGCGCGCAAAATTCACGGTCAGCGCGGCGCCTCGTCCCACGTGATTCTAACGAATAGCATCGTCTGGAGCAAGATGAACGGCCCAGAAGAAACAACCGAGCCGAAGGATTATCGCTGGTAATTGTATCTGACATGGAGCTGGCTTTGTTCGCCAATCGTTCTTCGCCGCAATGTATTTACGCGAGAGACGAGCCTCGTCTAGACAATCGCTAAATTCTTAGTGACTTTCAAACGTTACATCGAGAGACTAAATGAAAAACTTTGGACATTTTGCATTTTAAATGTTCGATAAAATTTACGAAAATCTGTTAGTGTAACGATGAGATGATATTAATGGGCAATTTCACGATTTAATGGCAGAGTATGTACTTCCAAGTACAACATCTGGATTTAATGATACGACGAGACTGGGATCTACTCCGTAGACAGGGCACATGTTCGTGAGAAAGTTTTCCTTACGTCGACGAGTATCGTGTGTCTGAGATGCTTCTGACTCTTTCTTATTAGTCGTCAGTGAATGGCTATTCGATTGAAAGAGTAATTATTATGCTTATATACATTTAATAATTATACGTTAATAAGAATTTCATAGGTGAAGTTTATGAATTAGTCTGTTTTAACTGTCTTTGTCAATAATCTGCAAAAAGCCAATACTCTTTTATAAACTGTGATATTACTAAAACAATGACGATATAGTACTTAACAGAAAATAATATTTAACTGTAAATATTATTGGAAATTATATTATTAAATATATATATATATTTCCTCTCCCTATAATTTCCAATAATATTAATATATTTCCAATTAACATATTAATATATTAATTATTAATAATATTATTAATAAATTATATTATCTCTCCTTATAATATATACTGCAAATATATATTATTCATTTATTCAACATAAATTTATTTTACGATCCCAATGAGACTTCCAAAAAGTCTACTCTACGACACCCGTACGAGTTCCTCATCTCAAAATTCCACACCTCAAGCCCATTCAAATACTTTCGCACCCCAAGGTAATCTTTACTCTTCGATAACGAAACGCAGCGTCGAGGTCGATATCACCGCGTCGCGCGCATCACAAGCTCGACGCGTTGAACTCAATGAAATGAAACTGAGGCGAGGGCGTTCGAACGCGTCGCGACAGTAGAACTCCCTAACTCGTCCATTGAAAACGGGGATCGCAAGCGTGGAGAGGCTCGAGACGGAGGTCTCAGCCGCAACCACCGTTGATTCCTTTTGTCACGCGACTGCTCAGCGTATTTACAGTATCAGCATTCAGCGGCGTCGTTCGTGAAGCAACGCTCGACGAAGAGAAGCCGAGAGAAAGCGTCTCGTGGGACACGGGAGAGGAACGTCTCGCGGAACACGCGAGATCGCCGAACACGCGGCAGGAATTACGCGCGCGTTTCAGCTGATTCACGCGAGCGCGGCAACTGTAGGCAACTTGCCTGTCCTCGTGCCTAAGCGTGCTGCAACGCTTTTACTTCCTTCTTCCTACGTGCCGCCTCGACCACGGCCACGGTCGCCACCACCATGGAGGAAAGGTTGCCACGTCCTTTCTCGCGTTACCGCTGCTGGGCCCGCGACGTTCGCGATTTATTAACCCCTCGCGAGCTTCCACCGGGAGAGACCGATCTGCGCGGCGATCTGCAGGGGGGCATTGTTCCTCGCGGAGACGTAAATTTGGAAAGTTGAACAAGCCAGAGAAATGTATATACCGTTATACTTGCTTCCAACACTTTACCGATTTATCGCTCGTGATTGGAGAAAAAAGCCGGCTGGATTGTAAGCATCTTTGCAACTTTTAAACCGATGTTCGTGAGAATGCTCGCTCGATCGTTTCCTGCTTTCTCTTATTGCAGGAATTATTTAATAACATCTTCATTTGTTAATTTCCGTAATATCAGTATTTATATGATAGTGTTTATTTCACGTTCTAGAAATATTATTTTTAAGCAATTATTTGTGAAATACTGACTTAAATTTATTAAATATAATAAATCGTATCGAACGTGATCCTTACGTGAATATTCTAATTTTTTCAGACGCATTATCTACATTATCTTTAGGGTTTTTTTTACTTTTACCACTAATTATTAATAACTAGTTATCAGTGGTATTGTTTACAAATTATTGCAGGTAATTTAATAATATTTTCAATTTTCATAATATTAATATTACATAATATTTATTTCACGTTCTAGAACTATTTTTAAGCAATTATTTGTGAAATACTGAGTTAAATTTATTAAATATAATAAATCCTATCGAACGTGATGATTTTCTTCAAGTAAGTGGATTTCTAATATTTTTTTTAGCGAATGACATTCGCCCGAAACAGTCACTCTTACGTGACAAAATATTCTAATTTTTTCAGACGCATTATCTACATTATCTTTAGGGTATTTTTACTTTCACCACTAATTATTAATTATTAATAACTCGTTATCAGTGATATTGTTTACAAATTATTGCAGGTAATTTAATAATATTTTCAATTTTCATAATATTAATATTACATAATATTTATTTCACGTTCTAGAACTATTTTTAAGCAATTATTTGTGAAATACTGAGTTAAATTTATTAAATATAATAAATCGTATCGAACATAATGATTTTCTTCAAGTAAAATTTTTTTAGAGAATCACGTGATAGAATATTCTAATTTTTTCAGACGCGTTGTCTACATTATTTTTAGGATTTTTTACTTTCTACCACCAATTATCAATAGCATGTTTACAAGTTTATGTTTTCTGAAATTTGATAGCCTCCTTAAATGATCAAATCTACGCATTCTTTTTGTAAGTATCTGGTGTACCTACTAAATGAATGTTCATCTTTGAAATTGCAAAATCCAATCAATAGGCTGCCAATTGATAAGTGTTGGCAATAAAGAGCCAATTAATAGGTCGTTAAAGTGTTAATAATTCCCTGCTCCGAATGATTTCGTTCAAGGAACGTTCGATGATTTTCAGTTGATTTTGAAGATCTGTCTGTTTCGTTCGGAGGAAATTTTTGGAATTTTGAGATGGATGGGAGACGAAGAGAAAACGGAGCTGGAGTACTGAAGCATTGTGCGATTGAACCGTGATGATATCGGTTTCGATTGCCTTTCTATTTTACGTTCACCTGGCTGGTTTCAACTTCTTCTGCGCGCGCGATAAACTCGTCGCGAGTTAATGTCGCTGCAAGATCCGTTTATACTCTGCAACTCGAGAACTTGAAAATATATTTGCAACGAGTAATTACGTCGTACGTATCGGTGCTTACGGTCAACGATATTGGGAAAGAATGAAGGTTACTTAGTTTACCTAGCCTAATTTGAAACAGAATCGAATTCTTAAATCTTTCTCCAAAAAGAAATCTAATCTCCAAAGAAGAACTCTCTGCCGCTGTAAAGTCAAGATTAACGACTAACATTAACGCTAAAATAAAATGCCACGAATCGTGGTAATTTTGAACGTTGAATCAAGATAGAAAAAAAAAAAAAAAAAGACGAGACAAACTTTCTCTCGGCTTTGTATTCGTCTGACACTAAGTCATTGCTATTAAATACTAAGGCCATTCACCGACCCTCACGAAGCCCTGAAAAGCGCGCGACACAACAGCATACGCGAATCTTCTTCTTCTTTTTTCTCCTTTTTCTTTTTTTTCTTTTTTCGTCTTTCTCTTCCCTTATGCTAATACCATCGAATCGTCAAGCACTCTCGTTCGGCTTCGTTAGGATCGGCGTTTGGCTTGGCTACAAGTCTGCACACCATAGGTGAATACCTTTCGGGCGACAGCTGGTCGACAAAGCCGACCACCTTCTTTTTCGTTCCGTTAACGGTGAGCGAGGGCATACTACAAGGAGGGGCAACGATTTACGATATACACAACAGGAATATATATATCCAGCTCCCCGACTTCTGCTTAGATTTAGCCTACGCCAATTCAAGATGTCCCGAGTGAAATTTTTTTTTTTTCTAAATTTTTTTTTAATAACTGGCCTTTTCTTAGGCCAACCAGCAGATTTGCCTGAAGGAACATCTAGTGATGTTCCTTCAGTATAACGATTGACAATTAGCAATTAACAATTAGGAAGGTCTAATGGTTTCGCTCTTTTAAGTCTTCTGATTTCCCCTTCGTTATTGATGAGAGAAGTACCAGTAAGTGAAAATTAACGGGTGAAAACGCATCCGACCGCGAGTCAATTTGCAATTGGGGTGGTCGTGCTTCCAACGAAATTGCCATTCACGCGACGATCCGGCCAAGTTTAAGAGTAGTTAAGGGAATTCAACGTGGTGAAAACGCTTCTTGCTTTGGCTCTCGATCGCACGATTTGCAAGATTAATCGCTTACGCGAATGGCTCTCTCGAAATTCAGATCAAATAGATGGTCAGATGGAAGATGAATTTAATCATCGAGCCAATTACGCGACACTGATTTTGCGAACAACAGAAAGTGAGAGGCAATTAGATTTTCTTAATTAAGCGATTATCGGAATTTCTATTTAAATGAAACACTAGTTTTAAAAATAGCTGTCGACTTTCTTCGCGGCGTTACCTTTGCATTCTACTTTAACAGATTTCAACTTTTTTTTATCGTACGAAGAAGAAATGGAACATAAAGAAACTAGAAAAAAAAAATAATCGAATAAATTGAACACAAAAGCAGAAAAACGGGCAACGATCATTCGAAAATTGAAATACAAAATATATATATAATCGACGATATAAAAGATTGTTAAGTTTTGATGAAATTGAATTTATTACCAGTAGTCAGGAAAAAATTGAACGAAAGTTGTGTCTGGAGAAGAGGTATAGAAAATTGGTATACTAAAGCGGAGACACTACAAAAATATTTACTCGTACTTCCCCCTATCCTAAACAAACGAACGTCTATCCCTTATACGAACCTCAGCGAAACAGTATTACGTATTTTAGGGTTTTCTCTCGGGGCATCTTGCGCTAATATGTACACGTCGTCGTGACACACTCACATACGCGAGGAATCATAAAGAAACAAAACTGATATAAATTTTGATCCATTTCAAAAAAAATTTAAACCCATAAGTCGAAAAGTTTATTACGAACAATACACTATTTTACTAAAAGTTTACAATTACATTCGATTTATTGAATGAGCTGTGAACGTCATACAACTGTATAAATTATACCAAATTTACTATATAAGTGAAATTAGTACAGAGGAATACACGTATACAAATATACTAATGTTAATCAGTAAAATTAATTTCAATGAACTTTACCATTATTATTAAATAACACGCGCTAGTAACAAAATTTATCAACTAAAAAAAAAATTCTTGCAAAAGTGGTCCTCTGTTCATTTCGAGAAATATACAAATATTCGCACATTTTGTTCCTTTGGATACTCTAACCTTTAGATGAATTTTGATCTTAAATTATGGATCGTAACTCTGAAGGAGACTGGAAAATATTTTCTAAAGATTCCCACAGTTACTTTACTTGGAAATTTTGTTCCTTCCAACATCTTTACATTCCCCTATCAAACAAAAATAAATTCCTGCATTTCGTTGAAAAAACTATCCCACCCATCGTGAAAGTGAGTCGCGGCCCAGAAAATATGTACTAGAAAACGCTGTAAACGCTCTAGAGATTCAAAGAAAGAAAAGAAAGAAAAAAATAAATGCAAATTCAAACAAAAACAAATACATAAATTACTTATACATTCGACAAATCTTACCCAGAAACGATAGCGATACGTTCAACGCGGCATTTCTAAGAGCGGCGAACCGGTTTCGTTGTATCAACAATGTTCGCTGTTGCGTTGCAAACATACTCTTCGGAAAGAAACACCGCGGAAACGAAATGTCTCTCGTGGGATACGGCGCGTCGAACATACCACTTCGTTCACGTTCCCAGGAAGCAGTCCGGGTTCTCCCGGTTTTCCCTTTCATCAGCCAGTGCAATTAAGAGAGAATGACGCGTACCTGTTCGACTTTGGCGTGACGATGTCCCGTGTTTCGGACGTGTACTTCCTCTCGGCGCGGCCGCCGTTGAAAAGCTCGACGGTCTCCCTGGTAACCGTTTCAAGGAGAGGCTCACCGCCCCGTCTACCCTTGCTGAAGGTCCTTTGATCCGTTTTACGGACCATAACCACCCTCGACAGCGGCTGATTGAATTCATGACCGTGCATCGTTGGCGGGATCATCGCTAACGACTGGGAGAGGGGCCCACCGACGCGCGGGGACCTGAAACAGATCATTCGAGATTCCATGGTGAGAAGAGATTCGCATCGAGCGCAGCGCCAGTCTCTGAAATTAAAATAATTTTTATGCCCGCGGTTTAAGCCGACGAACGGAACAACGTATTTTCGATGGACTTGTTTTCTGTGAAAGGAATCGAGAAGGCACGCCACTGAGAATCTGTTATTTTGAACGTTGAACATCGAACGATTTGCTAATATTTTTTTTTTTTTTTTTAATTTTCAATGTTTCTGATTTAATTTGAATTTAATTTGACAAACTTGCCATTTTAAAATAATTGTCACAGAAAATAAAGTGTAGCATGAAATGAAATTACAAAAATACAAAATTTCGGTACTTTACCATAAAATCATTTGTAACCCAAAGATAACCATTTGAAGAACGATCATGTTTGTAGTTTTCAAACGGAGTCTTTTTATTTAAATATTAAATACACTGTTTTATTTTTATTCTGTGGAAATCTTTAAAAATATCACGGAATAATGTAAAAAGTGAAACAAACATGAATGTCCAAATTTAGTTTGGATAAACGGCGGTGTAGTAAAATTTTGTATTTATGTATGTGTTATATAGTAAATTTATATATTCATAAAAGAAGAGATGAACTCTTTATTCAGATTCCATTTCTTTAATTATAATCACAAACATTTACCCTCTGTTGATACTTTCACGTTCCAAAGTTAATAATCAGTTAAAAATCTTTATTCTGTTCTATTCGCAACAGTGCATAATAGAATAAATATATTATTTAACATTTGAAGCCTATTACTATACTGGATAATAAACTGAGATTCTAACTCGACTTTTTAGCACTACACTGTGAAAATAAATGGCCTGACCGGTAGCTTAGAGAGTCGTGATTTTGCATATTTTGTGTTGTAAAACGTAGAAAATTTAAATGAAGCCAAGGTAAGAGTTCAACGATGTTGAAGTGATGAATTATACAATATCTTTTTCTTACAAGTTTTCCAGTCCTACACAAGAAAACGTATACATATTTATGATTACTTTATGCTTACTTTACATTGCGTGACTTGTTAACGATCCGTGAATTATAGTTATCTTACTGAAATACATTTTAACCTTTTAGGTACTAACGTCCGATATATCGACACTTATGTAATATCTGAGAAAGCCGAATGTCTGATATATCAGACAGTCTCTCTTGTTTTGAGTCTTTATTTGATTTGATTAACTTTGAAAATACAGGAAATACAATAATTTATATGAAAACACGTAAAATTAAACTTAGCCTAGCGATTTAAATCCGTCCACTAGCGAAGGAGGACTTAAATACACTGTCCTTAGAGGGTTAATACAAATCAAGTTGGAATATATTTATATCAGACAATAAACTTCTTTGAGAAAGTTACTATTTAGCAAAAAGAAAAATATTTTACAACACTTGGGAAACCACCGTATCTTTCTAAATATGAAGAGTAATAGTATTGTTCACGATGAGGTATCTAGGCGTCAATATAAATATAATAACATTATATTAAGAATAATGATCGTTAAATGATGATATGTTTCGGAACCAAATAATAATTTCCTATATACTTAATCCTTGTATATTATTTTAAATGTCGACCTGCATACTAATTACATCTCACTGCATAAATTATTACATTAAATTTCGATTTATATTGTCAAATTCTATTTTTTTTTTTTTATCATTGGAGCCACGAAAGAAAATTCTAAAGATTCGCTCGATGCGATAATTTATTATATTTATATATTTGTTTGATCCTCAGTGTGGTTAAGTAACATTTTACTTGTGTCACCTTATATATACAGGATGTAAATAAAATGAGTAGTTACACCAAAGGACGAGAAGAAAAACATTATGAACATAGATTTGAAGCCTACTTTCTTCCCAAGATGTAAGAACTCTTTGTTTACATTAGAACTAGAAAGAGTAATCGCCATTCTTGTTGAAATGATTTATTATAACGTACATATACACTCAACTGGCTAAACTGGTTTACTACCTGCGTTACTATGCTCCGATTCTTCTAATTCTAAGCGTAATAGTCATTTTATAAAATTTTAATATAAACAAAAAGTATTTACTTCAATCTCAATTGAAAAAAAAAATTGGAAGAGTGTTTGAACTTGTGTTTTCTATATCTTTCTCATTTATCAGACTATTGGATATCATTATATTGGACACAAAAACTTTCTATTATATTTTCAGAATTAATCTAATCCCCAAATAATATCGCAGATGACTATAACGTTAAGTTAAAATGAAAAAATTTGAGACATTTAATTTTGTTCTCCAGTCAGAAATGAAGTATGTTGTATTTTACTTTCACTGTGACATTGAAATTAACGATAAAGTTAAGTTAAATTGAAAGAAATTGCGAAAGAAGGTAATTAAAAATCCTGATCTTCAATGTCCAATGGACTAAGAGTTAACGCACAAAATGATATTTCTCACGAACAATGCCAGCAGTACAGCTTGGCGATGATTTTTACAATCGTAGGAGGATACGACATCGTGGTTTGAAATGGTGAAATTGCGAATCGCCGATTGGAAAGGGACATGTTCGGCTTCGATGCACTCGCCAGAGGAGAAAAGTAACGCTCGTCAATCGTAAATCATTTCTATATCGCGACTGCTGCTAGTATCGCATACATGAAAGCGTTATTAGGCTTTCTTCGTTGAGATAAGAACATAATCGGAACTGGATCAGGACTCGAGTGAAATTAATTTTAATTTTAATTAATCGTTTGTTCTCTGTACGATTCTTAGAAGAAGTTATTTTCTGATATCTCAATTATTTTTTGCAATTATTATTATAAGAAATAAATATATGGTGTACTGGAAGAAAGAAAATTGAATATGTAAAAAGATCCTATGGGAATTCAGTAACAGATGATTGTCACTAGTTTAATACAAAATGTTTAATGAAAAAGATTATGAAAGTCGTACACGCGAGTATCGATTATCTTTTGCCCGACTGCCCACTGTACATAAAACATTATATCAGGGCGAAAGTCAATTGGTTCAGACAGACGAACATTGTAATTCACGAGTATTTTCCCTCAAGATCATTTCTTCCCCCGAGTTTCTAAATTCGTTGATATTTTCATAAATAGGATCACATATTTTTCTTCACACGTCCGAGTTCTCTGTAATGTTTAGTTTTGAAGATACTGTGGCGTAGATATTTTTAATTCATACTTAGATAAAAAGTATGTAGTCTCACTTTGTAGAAATGTTGATAAAGTTAAGAATGAGATTGTTCATCTCTTCTGAGAACGAACTCAAAATATAAAAGTATTTTGTAAAGAGCGATTCTACGAATTTCAATAAGAAGTTCTATATATATTTTTTAATTGGCAATGTCGGGACTTTCACAGAGAAAAAAGTGAAATGTTTTACAGTGACGTGAATCACAATAAAATAAAATCGATCTTAAAAATTAAACTTGTAAAGTAAAACATTTTTTCACGACGTTTTTGAGTGCAACACAGCACTTATAGGCATTATACTTGCTTCAAATGAAACTGTTATTTGTTGCTTGATCTTTTTACAAGTTGAGGCGTTTTTATCGCCTTTGGCTCAAAGAGCCAAGGATCACGGGCATGGAACGAATGGATAAAATAGCAAAGTGTTATAAAGGCGACTAGCAAAAAATGACGATTAAGTTACGTAAATCGGCGTTTCGCGATTCAACCTGCGATTTCATTGCAACAGAAAAACAATTGCAGTAAGTCAGCGTTTCTCAAACGGCGATACCAGAAGCGTTTTGCTACGCTCTTATTTACTTCTTATTCGATACCTAGTTTTTATGCTACGATACTTCATGACTGTATATTTATGGCGGAAGATTATGGCTGTTCATTATATAGTTTCACGTCGTTATAGTAGTACGTAGTATAAATTTCCACGTGTGTAAGCTTGATAAATTAAAAACATTTTAAATTGTTCTATATCTTTTTTTTTTAACTGTATACGTTCAAATATATTAATTTACAAACGTACATATACGTTATAACACCCAAATGTCAGACTGATCTTCATTTAATCTTTACTCCTAAGCAAACGGACACCCTAAACACACATTTACTCGCCAATTTATTTCACCGAACCGCGACGAAACCTCTAACTCGTGCCTCCAGTATCAACATTCCTGCCATATCTCCCTGATCGCGAACCCCTAGTATCAAAAGAAACCAGCCTCGAAAAAGAAACGAACGAAAGAAACTCACCGCAAACAAACCTCAAACGTCAATCTCCTCTAGGCTCTCCTCCACGAGACAGAAGAAACAAGAATCTCCCCTTTGAGCGCGAGATCAAAACACACTGCCGGTCAGAGGTCGATACTCGCGATAATCGAAGATCAACGCGCAAGAGATCTTTTAAATGTCATTCAATTGAAGCATGACGGCACGCTGAATATTACGAGAATGATGGAAAAATCCGTCACGTTGGGAGGAAAAACCGCGACACGATGATGATGAACGCGCGTGATCAGAGGAAGCGTCCTCGTTTCGAAGCGGCGCGTGAACGAGACTCCATGGCTCTCGGACCGCGACTCCGTGGATCCTTCGGTCGTGGCGTGGTTCTAGCCTCGGCTCTCTCTCGATACAAACCGCACGACAGAACGAACAAAACTGGCACGAGAGCCGGTGCTACGAGAAAGAGAGACCGCGGAGGCCTCCGCGCCGCACTCGGAGAGGAAAGGTGGCCAATTAGCCGTTACTCGGCGCACATGCCTTAACCAACTATCCGGCGCAGCTGCAGCGCCGCTGCAGCACGCTTCCACCGGAATTGCATTCATAAACGCGCACGATACCAGAATCAGGCGCGTCTCGCCGACGTGCGTCGTCGTCGTCGTCGTCGTCGTTCAGGCCTCGCGCTCTTTCTTTTTTCACTCACTGTCAGTCCTCTGTTTTTCGCTTTTGTTATTTTCCCATGTCGCTGGCCGATGAATATGTTTCACTGAATATGCATGGATCTCTCGCGCGAGTTTTTTCAAGTGCCGCTGCCTTCCGTGCCTCGGATCTGCTCGGTGTGAGTTGTAAAGTGAGTTGTTTACCGGCCGTTGGATTCGTTTGACGTTTTACTCGCCGAATTTTCTTATTTTTTTTTTTTTTTGTTTTTTTATTTTTTTCTTTTTGGTTGAGAGACACAGTGTCATTTTAACTCTAGAGATGGATCTCTCTTTTTTTTTTTTTTTTTTTTTTTTTTTTTTAACGAAGGATGTAAGAATAATAATATATTCAAGTTTGAAAATGTACAAAAGTTTTATGCTTATATTTTATACGTATTATATTTTATGCGTAAGCTATTTTGAAATTTCATTGGGGTTACGAAATATTTATTGAATCTATCAAAAATAATATATTTCCAAACCTCGGCAATATAATCACGATAGTCGAGTTTCACGTCGCTGTTAATAAAATTTGAACACAGATGTCCGAATATTTTCGTGAGCTTATACAAGTTTAACATAATTTTTATAATGGGATATATACACATATAGCCCCACTTGTAATGGAATTTCATGTTTCAATAGATCTGATCTAATCTACAAAAAATTTCAGTCCATTTAGTGAAAAATAACGGGAAGTACAATTTCGATAATTTTTAAAAAAGTTAAAAAATTATTCCAATTATTTCCCAACGTGTAGACGATGATTAGTTTGAAAGAAATTACACCAATATTTTTACTATTTTAATTAAACCTATGTCTCATTATGTCAAATTACTATACTAGAAGACCAAAAAAGATACTCGAGCCACTTTTCACGCTTTAATTTGAAATCTTTGCGATCGTATTTCTCGTAAAGATTCAAATTATTTCGTATGTTCCGTGGTTAAAGCGTAAACGTTTTTGCGATAAGTTTAATGAAGCATATAATTAGAAAACCGCACACGATTATGTTGTAATTTTTTGTAGTTCAAATCAGAAATAAAATGAGCAATTTTGAACTTTTCAAGTAATAATAGCTCGTATTATCTTTACAGAAAATTCTATTTAGAATATTATACGTTTATTGACAGGAAGCAACATTTTTGAGACCAATCATTTGAAATTTATCTAAAATAACGTACAAACTTCTTCATACTATCACGTGTATTAAATAAAAATTAGCAAAATACAACGACGTGATTTAAATCATCGCTTATAACGCAAAAATATTATCGAAGAAATAGAATACAAACTATTCAGTATTTTTAACTAAAGAGGACACAATCTATTTAAAACGAAATCTAGATCTTCTAGTTTCACCTATCAAATATTACAACTCTACTCTTTTATATATTTTCACAAATTTCGTACAGATGCATAAAAATCCGCGAACCAACGCATCAGTGATAACACAGCTATCGGTTGACATTTAACTCAAAAACCTCGAACCAGAACATTGTCGTAAACGGAACTCGGTACGAGTCACGCATCGTTACAAATCTCCCGGATCGTTTCCTTTTTTACGTATTCTCCGTCGCTCTAGTTTTGAAAATTCTCTCTTTCACTCGTTCCAACTGCACCTCCTATCGCTGCGCAATGCAAACTTTACGACTCCTTCAACTTCAACGCGCGAATTCCTTCTCTCCCTGTGTTATGCGTCCAGAAACGGTAAAAATTCTTCGCGGAGGTCAGGAAAATTCCAGCCCGATCGGTATCTCGAATTTCACGTTACAGGAATAAACGTACGGGGCACGGAGCTCAAGCCGAAAGATTCCTCTACCAATTTCTCCGTCTGCTCCTTCTCCACCGCGCGCGGCGACGAGAAAAAGAAACCCGGCAATGAGTTCCACTAAATTACACGGACCGGAGGGAAACACCATCCGACAAGTAAAAGAGAAAACCAAAGAAAGAGAGAGAAAGAGAGACAGTCGAGAGAAACAAAAAGCTGAAACGATTTTATCGAAACGCATCCTGCGCGCGCGGTTTCTTCCGCTTTCGCGACAAGGCGTAAGTACGGTGCGCGCCGCGGAAAGCAGCGTAATAATTGGAGAACGAAGATGTACGGCCGAGCGAGTACCGCTATTCCGGCTGACCGGAATCACTGCTCTGGAACAGCACGGTACTCCTTTACCTCTCTCTTTTTCTCTGTCTATCCCGCGTCAACGTGCTCGCGGTGAACACGTGCGGACTGGCTTGAACACTAGAGATGGGATCGAGCATCTCGCAAGAGCGTCTCTTCTGTTCTATGCTTCAACGAATGAACCGATATTGCATACTTCCAAGAACTCGAGAGAATGTATTTTAATTTTTCAATGTTCAATGTGTTTGGTAACTGATTGCGGACCGTAACGAGCGACCAAAACGGTATACAACATTTTGTCGCTTTTAAACTCGTCGGTGTGGTGGAAATTATTGGGAAGTAATAAATTTGTTATTCGTTGTTGCCTGGGTTATACTTAAATATATTTAAAACCGAGAAATATTGCAATTTTGGGACAAAAGGTTAAGAGGCAAGTTAAACCAGATCTGTCAATTCACTATGAAAATTAGTTTCTACAAATTACTTTGTCTATCTTTAACTTTACTAACTACAGAACACAAGAATACAATTTATATGTGTATACACCTAATGCGAGTGCTGTACTCGCGACACTCTGGAGAGATGCAGTGGAGGGGATAGCGCCAGCGATCAGGAAAGTGGGGGCAAGGGCCGCCAGTTAGCCACCTCTGATTTTAAACTTTGGACTCGACCTTTTATAAATATGTATACATATGTACTTCTAGACATTTGTTTTTGGCTAAATCTAAGCGAAAGTTTCGAATGTCTCGTGAGCATTTCCGGAAATGAAAACAATAATAGACTCTTCCAGGTAGACTCAAGAAAATAATTACATAAAGAAATAATTTTATTACGCGTAAGAAAGAAACAATTCAGTTTTAAATGTAACTGACTTTTATCGTTGAGATCCTCTCTGCGTCCAACGGTAAACTGACAATATTAACTGTCTTTCGGTTGAGGGAATCCCCGAATGCTACAAATGGACAATTTCGCGTGACAAGTCGACTTGATGAGACATACTCGCGTTTTTTGAATGTTGCATCGAACTCACGAAGATAATTTATTGTTCGATGTATCAAATTTGACTCGTTGACACTTGATCCCATCTCTACTTAACACCTGTTCCAGCATCTGAGCGCTTTTCCTTCACGCACGTGGTCATCAATCCCCGAGACGTGATCCCAACCTTGACTTATTGATCTAATCTCGCGATCCGAAACACGTTTTACGTTTCAAGACGATTTCAACAATTAACAACGGGGAACTCGAAAAACACTTTAAGGTATGAAACTTCCATTTTACGAATCGCGTTAAGTCGAAGATTGATACGAATAGAATGGTAATTTATGACAGTAGTGTAATTTGCAGATATTATACGTGTTTCTGATGTCATGTTTATTACCAATAGATGACTCCATTTTACGGTGAATTATGAATTATGAAGAGATTTATAATTGCAAATATGGAATGATATCTTGTATTTTGTAATATGATTATAGGAAGCAGGTATTGACCGACTGTTTAGAAGTTTGTTCCAACAAAAAACAAATTTTTTGGAGCCATGTGTTACGAATTGTTATTCGTAAATTATGGTCTTTTAGACCACTCCAAATTTTCATTCATCTCTATTTCTCTTCTCGCATTGTTTCATATTTTTACTTATATATTTGCTATTCTTCAATTTTCCTTGGAATTCTTCATTATTTAATATATAAGACAAAAACAATTGAATTCATTCCACGTACGTGATAACTGTATAAATATCAATATCCATAGTATTTGAGTTCGACTTGCCATAATTAATATAAATATATATATAATATATAAACAATTATATAATATATAAATAATTAATATAAACATTTATAATAAATCATTAAACCACACTTACAACGTAATTCAACACAAATATAATTCGAAAGCGCAGACTTCTTTCCAAGATGGAACACACGAAACCACCTATTTCCGTACACTCGTTCTTCATTATCATCTCATTAAGAGTCCGATCGTTTCGACGTTTAAAAGATACTCACTAACCAGGCTACGAAGAACAGACGAACGTTTTCCCATTCCGTACGCGCGCTTTTCTTTATCTGCGTGATTTATCGGCAGATTTAATTTACTACAGGCACGTGACTATTATTCACCATTGCACACGGTCGCGTAACAAGCGGTACTCTGCGGGCATGAAGAACACCGAGACGCAAAATGGCCTGTTACGAGGAGGACAATGGAAGCCTTACGTGGTACCATGAAGAAGAGGAAGGGTCGCGGCGAAGAAATTTTGGCTACGCTTCGTACGCGATTACCTGAATTCTTTCGAGTGACTTTGCGTCAATAATTCCTCCGTTATGATTCAGGCATCTGATAAATTCACCCCACCACTGCACACCGTGAATATCCACTCGCAACGCTTATGGGAATATTTGCACGGGTGGAGAAACATTTTTACGAGGATTTTTATTTAGGCGTTTATATTTACAATTCGATAAATTTATAATCTTTGGCGACGATAATCAAAAGATATAGACTTTATACTTGAGAAATTTTTTCCAATGTTGAAGAATTGAAGATAATGTTTCATCTGATGAAGAAAAATGAAGTGGATATTTTACACATTCTGGGAAAAATTTACGAAAATTATAGTGTGGAAAAATATATAAAATATCCAAAAAGTATGGTAAGATATATAACAGTTATGTTTGTGAATAAATACAGAATTTATTTATTATTATTAATGATATCAGCAATCTAATTGTTATAGTCCAATACTGAAGATGTAAAATAAAAAATAAAAGTTAAGACTCAATTCTTTATGCGACTTTAAAATTTTCATTGAAAGTGAAAACTGTACAGTACTTTCGATAAATTTCGAGAAGGATTTATATTTTTAACACGATGAATATAATTATTTAAATTCACTATATATTCACATGCATAAAATTGACAAGTCGAATGCTAAATAACGAGTAAGAAACATCTCAATGTGTGCAACATCTATTTATAAACACGTTTGCCAAACCTTTACCCATCAGAGCAATTTAAATAAATAAAATATGCAGCACGCACGATGCTTAACATTTAACCCGAGTAACATTTAATTCAAATGACACGCAACACACTGAAGAAATCAAGTGACATCGAGCGATTCAATCGAACAAATGCCTGAAAAAAAATAAAATTTATCTAAATGAGCTCAACTTCAAAAAGAAACAGGAGTTTCACCGGGCTTCGAAAAAAAGACTTTGAGAATGTCGAAGGCCTTGCTCAACAGGATCTACACGTGCTCATTTCAATATCATTTTCAACCTTCGATTATGTCTCGACAGTATTCCCTGTCGCGTGCATCATGAATTTCTCTCATCCAATCGTTTAACGTAATCTACGATAAAAGTTTATCGCGTTTATACTTTATATAGAGAAGTAGGTTACTGATAAAATGATTTACTGACTCAAATATGAGAAGAGAACATTAATTTGTTTTTTTTTTTTTTATAGTAGAAAAGAAATGATAATACGACGGTTGAATATATCATTCGTAATCTTATCACAGTGAGACAAACAGTTCACGTATACTTATACTGATTATATCAACAGAAGATAAAATAAAATGCTTCTATTGAGTATTGTTGTAATTAACCTCTACGAAATTAATTGTACAATACTATTTATCCTAAGGTAATTTTTCATGATCAATGAGATTTATTAGAACTAAATAAACGATATTAAATATCATAATTAATTTACATTTTTTCAAATTCCGAGTAATTGTTACAAGAAAAAATCGTATCGAAATATACTGGAAAATTTTAAACAGACTATGGGGGACAACACAAAAATAGAAATATAGAACCTCTATGTAAACACCAATCTAAAATTATATTATATAACATTTACAATCAATCTACTGAAATATATACATACATAATTGTTAAAAGAAAGATTTCAAAATGATTAAGATCACTGGCAATGAATTTCAAAGATAGGATCTTTATCTCATCCCATCCTAAAATTATAAACACTTACTGTCAGAGTCACTCAGTATTCTGTTACATACTCTATACGTACTGAAAGTATATTGTTTCAACGGTAATTGTTGAAACAACATACAGACCAAGAATTTAGTTAGATGGAGCACCTCTATGCCAAGACGAAAGACGCAACATTGTTCTTGAAGGCTAATGAAGTAACGCGTTAGAAGAGATAAGATCGTGAACTAACAATGTTGCAATTAAACGAAGAGCATATAATCAGTTCGAACGTGAAACGAACGTCGGCTGCACGCCAACCGGACATGGGAGTGCGTGTTCAGAGAGATTTGCATGAACGCGAACGACACACGTGACCGTCGCGCGTCGCGTCGCTAACAGAAATGAAATATCGTACTAGAGAAGAGATCATGCTCCTGCAATATGTTCCATGACCACCACAATATCGTACCCGATCGATAACCCGACTGACACTCGGTGAATTCAGAATCAGTCGGAGTTGCGTACTCGATTCAGAAACGAAAGGACGACGCCGGATATGTGTACATGGTTTTCTGCGCCCCGCAGAGACCACATTAATATTAAATGGAAAGCAATTGGAAATCATTCACGTGCACTGTAGGACTGATTGGATTGGGTGGAATTTGCAGTTGAAAGTTTCTGCAAACGATTTGAATCACGTTTGAATTTTCAGTTAAAATGAATGGTGGATGTTGAATATTATTCATTTTTGAAGGAAGGAATCATTTGTTTTTGAGTGATATAATATATGTTGAGTAACTGATATAAATAAATAAATTTTACTAAATTGGATATTTTTTTTCTATACAGGATTTTGTTATATATATTGTATAAATATATAACATTATTATTTTATCATTTTATCTATTATTTTGTCTTGAAGTTGAATTTTATGTCTTACTGTATTTCGAAAAATTCAGTATTCAGATAAAATTTCGTGTAAATAGAGATTCCACCAAACTTTATAAAATATAATTTTATTTTGCACATCGTGTCTGAAATAGAAGACAAAATTATAGTATATAAAAATAACTCCAAAATTACCCACATTTAATTTTATCCACCAATTAAATAAGATAAACCCATTTCGTCCAACTCATTTGAGTTTCAACTCTATAAAATTTCGTGTAAATAGAGATTCCACCAAACTTTATAAAATATAATTTCATTTTGCACATTGTGTCTGAAATAGGAGACAAAATTACAAAAATAACTCCAAAATTACCCACGTTTAATTTTACCCACCAATTAAATAAGATAAATCCATTTCGTCCAACTCATTTGAGTTTCAACTCTATAAAATTTCGTGTAAATAGAGATTCCACCAAACTTTATAATATAATATAATTATAAATATAATTTCATTTTGCACATTGTGTCTGAAATAGGAGACAAAATTATAAAAATAACTCCAAAATTATCCACGTTTAATTTTACCCACCAATTAAATAAGATAAATCATTTTGTCCAACTCATTTGAGTTTCAACCTAGCCATAAATAACAAACAATTAGCATAAACACAATTTAGATAAAAACAATCAGCACTTCGAATGATAGCACAATAGTGATAAATAAGCTCTTTGTTTCATATTCACACGACAAAATCGCGTGATTACGAATTAGACGGTCGAGTTAGGAACAGCTGAGGGTTGATAACGCGATTGTTACGTAACTCCATTCGGAAGAACGTGACGTGGAATATCGTCGAACATTCAAGGTCTGATACGTTCGCCATAGACAGAGTGTAATGTGCACTACAATGTTACTCATTGCTAATCAGAACACGAGCGAAAACGTATGGTAACTGTTCGCCACTTTGATCTCCATGCGAGTGTCCGTTTTCGTGAAAAAGATAGTAAACGATCTATCGAGGAGTTTCGTTCATATCGATTCGATTCAGAAAATTGTGATATCATCTTGAGATATACCATGCACTACGCCAAACATTCATTCGGAACAATTTCATGAGAAAGTTTAAAATAAAAGTGTGAAATATAAATAGAGCAGAAAATTTGATAATCCTTTGTTTCTTTGATATCACATCGATGATTCTTTTATTTAATATTTTATAATTGCTTTTAAACGGATTTGAAATGATATGTGTTCTTTTCCGTTTTCTTGTTTTCGTGGCTGATTTCTATTAAATGAATATAAATAGTATTTATTAAATATTGCTGTTTATTCGAGATAAATATTTTTTTCAATGATTCCTTCTTTTGTCACTGTTATAAGTGTTTTCTATCTATATGTGGAATGCATTCATTTGGCCTTGTACTTCCGCAAATTATATTCGAAACGTCATAAATTGTTTACACGTAATAATTCTGCCTCTGCTATTGCTTCTTTATAAATGTCAGATATACCTATAAAGCAACAGGAAAATGATGCCGCGGAGAGTAATTTAAAACGTCCATTACCGTCAGGTCATGGCCTATATTCCCGAGGGGATCTCGTAGGTAATATTTCCTCTAGGTTTTTATCGTAAGACGCAATCAAGTGGTTAAACACAGAAATGTTAATACATAAAACGGTAATTGAACAGATGGTGACCTCGTATCACGACAAGATTTCTAAAATCTTGAAAGAGACAAGATATTCCACTAATGTGTTTCAAAACTCAATATAACTCAAAACTTACACAAATGTTGACGCAGAATATTAACCTATCATGAACCAAAGCGCAAACGAATTTCTAACAGAAATTAGATACGTACTTGCTCAAAATGACAAAGATTTTTTCATAGAAACTTTTTAAAAATTTAGCATCTTTAGACTTCTATAGTACTTTCAAAAATTTTTAATAAACATGACATTAAAGCCACGGAAACGCTGTCTTTTCACAGAAATTTTCAAAATTTTTCGTCTTTAAATTTTAATAACAATAATTAATAATTATTCCTACGGTATTTCTGAAAATTTTCGTATCTTTCTCGATGACGAAGAGATTTCCAATTTTTCATGGAAATTTTTAAAATTTTCTTTTCTTTAGATTCTCATAGATTTTTCTTCTATTTTTCTTCTACCGGGTGCGTTCCTGGTAATTGTGGCTACCGAGACGATGGAGATAAATCACGCTCGATGCAACACGACGCAATTATTCGCGACAACTCGGCACAACCGTGGATTGGGTCCGCGTGGATCGTACTCGGCGCTCCTCGAGGATGCACGGTGCTATCAAGATCACCGGCTCAACTTCCGGTGTCCCGATCATTACGCGCATAGGTACTGCAATTCGATCCACGAGGTCGTAACCGTACTGGAATATCACTGATCATAGCAAAGAAGAAAAAAGAATAAAGAAAAAAAAAATGACCGAAAAGGTATCGGAGAAGTATCGCAAGTCAACAAGCGAGTACCAAACGTTCTTACGTAACCAGTCGTTGTGTTACGTTCGCGACTTTGAACCGTAATCGAGGTGACATAAATTAGAAAGACGATTGATTTACGATTCAATGTCAAACAAGAATGGAGGAAATTTGATCGATGGTTTTCAAATTCTTTTTTTTTTCCTTTACGCAGTCGTTTCGTAAAATGTTGATGATTTAATAAAATGAATTATGTAATTGTGCATTGATTTTCATGGGGTTGTTCTGTGATATATGGAGACACAGAGAGAGACACTACTACACTGCGAAATTTTATACAAACTTACATTTTTTAAAAATATAACTTAAATAATAAAACCACCCTAGAAAATCTATTTTATATTTTTCAATTTTTTACAAATGCATAAAAATGCCCAATGTTCTAATTGTTATATAGGTATTTTAATATTTCTCTTTAAGATTCGCAAAACCCTAGTGTTTAATCCATAGAAACTGATTAATCAAATTTTCTGGACACGATTCCTCCGGGCGAAGTTAATGAAAATCGTCAGGCTGAACATTCTTGGAAGACACGGTTAAAAAGTGTCAACTTCGCGTGTTTATCGTAAGAAATTCCGTGAGTTTCAACGACTGGGAGAATTTATCGCATATAAGTGCAAAAAGAACGACGCGCGTGGATGCCACGGGTCGATCGATCCGACGAGAATTTGCTTCTTAATTACATGTTTGCCAAAGTGATTAATTTAAGATGCTCCCCTGTCGGTTGATCGCATCAACATTTAAACCGTTCCAAGAATAATCAATTTCTTTTATGAAACTCTGTGTACGCGTTTAAGCGTCATTATAGTCTGCTAATTGGGATTAAATTAATTCGACAACTTTCTGAATGAATCTTGTAAAATTCGCTGTATACGTGTATACTAATTGCACGTGATATCTGACAATACGACTGGATTTGCGTTGCTTTTTAAAGTAAATTATTAAACTATACAAACTTTCAAGATTTTTACGAGATTGTCAGGTTTAACACCTAGTGACGAATAAAAAATTTATAGATGAATGAAAGTACATACAAGGAACTGTTTAATAAAGAATAAAAACTTTAATATATATATATGCAATATTTTATGCAAAGTCATTAGCTGCAAAATTCCTCTGAAAAATCATAAATTTGTCCTTTTGACTACTTTGATAGTTTCAAAATTCATATTAAGCAACTCTGCTGCGAGCTTTAAATTATTGCCCGAATTTCACTGCCTTTAAAAGTAATTCCGCTTTTAATAATAATAAAAAAAAAAAAATAAATACTTTAACAAAGTGTCCACTAGCAAACAAAAATCACGCATTCTACATCAACGACGATCAATTAATTGTTTTCACAAACTTACGGAATATTTGAAATATCAAAGAAAATTAGAGAGATTAATTTCGTTCATCTTTACCCTTCGTGCTCATTGCGTAACGCCAATGGAGCAACAATGTATCTTCCATACATTCTATTTATATCCTCCACTGCAGAAAAGTTTCGTAACGCAGAGAAGTTTCCTGGGAACAGGACGGAAAGAACTTTCGCGATTGCCGCTTTTACGTTACGAAATTTCTATATAATGTCCTCAAAGGCCCGCTGTCTCGTTCAGAAAACTGTGCGTTCTCTCCACGCGGCCCCGAAACCGCTTTCGTCTTTCCTCGATTCTTCATTGAAATTTCTCCTTTATTCGCGAGCCACCGTGCAAATAGGCTACTGACGCAACCAGGAACGCGCCACTGGCACCGCATAATGACCGATAATTAGTCAGTCGGTTGCGTAACCCGCCATTGTCAGATAATACCTGCTGACGAGCTGTCAGAGGAGGATTACGTTCCGCGAACTGGCTACGCCGAAGACAATTTCGATACTTCGACAATCTGTACCTTTCTTAACCTCTTGCGCTGGAATGACGTGCCACGTACGTCGAGAATTTTTTGTCCCAAAAATTGCAATATTTTCTCAGTTTTAAGTATATTTAAGTAAAACAAATAACAAATTTATTTTTCGATAATTTCTATCGAGTGATATCATACCGACGAGTTCAAAAAGAAAGCGACGAATTATCGTATACGGTTTGGTCGCTCGTTATGGTCCGCAATCAGTTTGCCAGCGCTTTTGCGCTGGAATGACGTGCCACGCACGTCGAGAATTTTTTATCCCAAAAATTGCAATATTTTCTCAGTTTTAAGTATATTTAAGTATAACCCATGCAAAATAGTAAATAATAAATTTATTACTTCTTGATAATTTCTATCGAGTGATATCATACCGACGAGTTCAAAAAGAAAGCGACGAATTATCGTATACGGTTTGGTCACTCGTTATGGTCCGCAATCAGTTTTCCAGCGCAAGCGGTTAATGAAATATGAACGTGAATTGAAAGGGATTGACAATTTTTTTTGCTGAACGTGACACGATCGATTTTTATCTATGCACTATTTCAATCCTCGAGCTGATAATCACGCAATGAAAAATTAATGGCTCAAAGTCAGTTTGACTTTTTATCTAACCTTTTGTCTCGCGAAGCATATCGAAAATTGTAAGTTTGTAGAATTACTTTGAATGTCAATTCTTGAAGTTGAAGACAAAATCGTCTCAATACTTCGTGATGTAACAAATGACAGTAATTAGTTAGATTCTTATCCGAGAAGATTGAAAAGAAAATTGTGAGAGGAAAAGTTAAATTTCCTCTGGAGGTTTCTAAAGAATTAAAATTTCAAAATTTGAGGGAGGTTCAGAATATTTTCTATCCCACTAAAGTTGTTTTCTCACATTTATTAATTACTCCAAGAACATTTATTTGCTTCGTTTCAAGATTTCTCGAATTCTAAACCAACGACAATCCTTAAAAAATATTGCAACAAAACAACAATCATTCTAAGAGATCTGTAACATTTTGTACAAAACGACTTCATAACTCTCGATAAAACTTCGTATTTTTTTTTTTTTTTTCCCCGGAGCAACGCTTAGTAAAAATAGATAGTCACCTGCGAAGTAACAACATGAATTATACAACAGACAAGATTAGAATTCGAAACACAAGTTCCAAGAAGTCGCACGATTGACGAACCAACTTTTTTTCCCCCCTATTAAATGAAAAATCATCCGCCGCGTGTTTATTTACGAGTTAGGCAAACGATCGAACTTCTACGGCTTTCCTGGTTGGATTGCGTGCGAACAGTACAAAAGTTTTCGCGGCCTTGCGTTCGCGCAGGTGATAACCGTGAAAAACAAATACGTTCTCGATCGATTATACCGAATTTCGCAGCTCGTTTATCAACTGTTTGCGAAAGATAAATTGTAACACGCACGTGCGCCTTTGTTTTTCGCATACCTCGATACGAATATCGCGAACCATAGTAGAGTTTTCCTTGAACGAAAGTTTTTCTTCGAAAGATTCCTCTGAAATCACGTGTAGTTAGATTTAATCAGAGGAAAATTTCCGATTCTGAAAATCGTTTGTATTTTTCTTTCTGGGTAAGTTCGAGGTTATTGAAGGTTGATTTAATTTTTCAGCAACTGTACTATCTATAAATAAATATTATCTACAGAGATTATTATTCTATCTTTTATTTTACCTTCGTGAATTTTTATGCAAAGTCATAATTTTGAAAAATAAAAAAAATAGAGCTTCGATGGAATAATTTTGTAATAAAAAAAAAAAAAAAAAAAAAAAAATAGAGCTTTGATGGAAAATTGTTTTACACACTAAATATTATAAAAAGACTTATATCTTGGATATTTCATACATTGATATTATGCGCATCATGTGCAATTTCACACTTGAAAATGTCTTATAAATGCATAAAAATCCACAGTCTATTAATGAATATTGTAAACGAAATCATTGATATTATTAATCATATATAATTGTTATTTCATGACAACCGTATTGTTTATTTACGCAATTTAAAATTGTATTAAAAAACTCGAAATTTTATGGCACCGAAGTAATTCAAAGTTCCAAGAAAAATTCGTAATCTAATAAAAATCTAATAGAATACGATTTCTTGAAATTTAAATCAGTATATGATGGTATTAATTTCACATTTCGCATCCACATAAAACTGAACATATATATATATATATATATATATATATATTTTACACCTGATATCCGGAAATTTGAAAAGATGAAGGAACAATTTCGAATTCTTCGAATATCAAACGATTTAAAGCTAAATTCATGCAACAAAATACCGACCCTCTTACGAGAGAAGTAAAGCAAAAACGAAGGAAAATCTGACGAAAATTGGCGGGATGTCCGAAGCCTCGTAAATTGACCACGTTGAACGGCTCGACGATTGTTTGCATAATAAGCTCATATTGAAGTGTGAAACGTGCATACGTTTAAAGCGGCGGATTCACACGGCGAGGCAGAAACGCGTGACGAAACCGTCGCACTTTACGCTTTGAGACGGCGTTTTTAGGTCAAGTGAAACAGTTAAATGGTCGGTGGCTCGTTTTTGACCTGAACGAATGCAACGAGTCCCTGTCTCTCTCGCGTTGAAAAACCAGGCTAACGAAACAGAACACCCGCGACTTTCTATATTCCATACTCTAGGCTCTACGAATCGATCGGATTTCGAATTGACGCACGAATCGAGGAAAAACGCATCGTACAGGCTTTTCACGATCTCTCGACCGAATCCAGAGCGAATTAGAAACAGCACGATAACGAACATTTGTTCCAACGTTGATAATTAACCTTGCAGCTGTTCAAAATTGTACAGGGTTGAGCCAAACGTTTCTTCTCACCTTTTTTTTTTTTTTTTAATAAAACATCAAAATATAAGAAAAAACTAATTTTGTTAATTTAAATTTATATTTATTTGGGTAGAAATGATTTTTCGTTCACTCTAATTACTTGTGCGAGCACTCTGATCATATTAAACTAAATTCTTGAACGAGTCTGACCGATTTGCGATTCGATCGATGATTTAT